GTGTGTGTGTGTGTGTGTGTGTGTGTAATACAAAGATTGATCTGAAGAGGGTGCGTGTGTGTGGCGCAAAACGGCAGATAATCTGTTGAGTCCTGCCTGCCACACGCTTTCCACATGGATCACTTCTCATTTTTCCCTCCCAATGACCCCCCATTCCTCTTGTACAGGAGGAAATGGAGGGTTTCACATCCACTGCACCACCCTGCTGTGGATTCAAGGATCCCTGAAAAGGAGCTTTCTTCCATGTGTACAGACTGCTGTGAATGTCTGCCATGGGGTTGTCACGATGATGTTTTCACATTTGCCTAAATGGAATTCAACAACTATCCTGAAAGCCCCAGCCAGCAGGGATGGAACATTAGCAAAGGGGGAGTGGACTTACTGATTAGCAAAAGTGGATGAAAATGTTTCAGCAGGAAAGAAAATTAACTCTTGGCCCTTTAAAGCCTAGTAAACTGGATGTTTGCTTTCTTTTTACAGATTCCCTTTGGTTCTTAGGAGCTGGGCCCTCATGCGGACCCAGTCATATGGCTTTAACAGTATCTTCTCTACAGGGAAAAGCGTTTGCAGGGTCATTTGGGAGGAGGTCCCTGACTTGCATACGTGACATTTCCTGTTTTAATTTCCCACCTCCCTTTTACAGTTCATTGCAGCCACTACTCTGCTTGTGTTTCTCTAGGAGAGTGCTTCCTTCACATCTGTTGAATTTCCTTGGGTTTTGCTCTTTATCTTTATTATTTTTATTTTTTATCAGAAAGTTTCGCTAGAAAACTTCCTGTGCTATAGGGTCTTGTCAAATCACACATAAAAACAGAATGTGACTCACCCTGTTCTCCTGCTGACTGTGTCGTGATGAGCTTTTTTCTTTCTAAGAAATGTTTTAATTGCCACAGTCAAGGAATTGTGGACAGTAACACTAGCACTTTGATCTGTGTGGACAGAAGTCGGGCTTGTAGTTTAATGACATGTAATTTTTGGATTCCAAACATAGTTTGAAATAGTGTTAAAGTCATAGCACCCAGCACATGCCTTTGCATAAGGAAGTTCTCAGCAACTAGAATAAATGAATATGTACTGAGTGAGATGAAGAGAGACTCACACAGAACAGGTGGTGGGAGGCAGGGGGGTCGTTTGGAGGCCTGCGTCTGGTTGAGTGACTTTCACCAAGCTGCCTGGTGTAGTAAACATGAAGAGTCTTCATTCCCCAGTCCTGTGTTGGGCAGTCGCTGCAGCACCTTACCGTTTTCCTTGTTGGAAAGGTCAGGAAAGTAAATATTGAATATGAGAAGACTGTCCAGTTCTATTTTAATGGAAAGAGCTTGGGAAACCAAAGCCTTGTT